TTGTGGCATATAACTTATACTTATTTAGTATATGAGGGGCTTAGAATGCAAGGAGTATAAGTGACATTTCAAAAAAGAAAATGACTTAAGTTATGTCTTGTATTGAGAATAAATAAATAAATAAAAAAGAATTCATGATAAATAAAGGGAATAAAATATGGAACTAAAATAAATCAAAAGTAAAATTCTCAATACTATATTCATTTTTTTTGTTTAATTAAGTGATTAGTGATAAACAAATCACCTTGTACTTGTGTTTTAATGATACATGACTTATAGATGTAATAAATAATGAGCTAAAATATATAATAAAAGATACGTACGATTATAATATTTATAATGTTTTTTTTTAAATTCTAGTACCACTGTAATCATCCTATAATAATAAATTAAAATACCTATAAGTTTTCAATTTTTTACTAAAAATTAATATTTAGATTATTTTATTTATAATAATTATAAATATAACAATAATAATAATTATTATTGTTATAAAAGATAGCTACGAGCTAAAGATTTTTTCACACAAAAATATTACAAATAAGAAAAATTATTTCCGTCCTCACCCATCGAAATAATGTATCCACACATATATATTTCTAATTTTTTGATAGGGTTGATCTCTACCCTCTCTTGCTGATCACACTTATGGTCAAGATACTTACATAACGCATAATTTTCCTCTTCGCAGAAGAATCGCCGAACTTGAAGGTCTCAATGCGAACAACGCGACACTTGGTGAACCGTCTACTAGCAAAGAGACAGCAACGTCAACAAATGCAGACCAGGAATCGCAAGATCAACTGGGAGCAGTAGCTGAAAAAATATAACATGGTTCTAAAAACGCATACGGATTACCAAGAAATCTTTAGGGTGAATTGTAGGATAATGATATCCTTGAGAAAATTTAGTTATCATCTTTCAACCAAAAATAATGCTTACCGGTGAAAAATAAAAAATAAATTGTTTTTCAATTTGCATTACTCATTTAAAAAAATGTTATACACATTCCTAACAGTTTAATCAAACTAACTAAATATTACAAATTTTATTTATTTATTTTTTTTTTAAATAAATGTAGATTTAGTTACTTAAAATTTAAGAACTTGAAATTTGAATAAACGGAATATTATATTGTTTTACAAAAAAAACGAAAAATATTGTAGTAATATAATTTATTTAATATATTTATAAATTTTGATAAGTAATTCCAAACACATCATCAGCCAATATAAATTTGTACTAATATGTTTGAAAACTTAGTTATATGATCTAACTAGGATTGTAGTTGAGAGGTGACTACTTGGGCCACGCAATGGAATGAGGAATCGCCACCCTCACGGCTACTTTGCAAAAGAAAAGTCGGGTCACCAACCACTTAGGCGAGTGGTTTAAAAAAAAACACCCGGACCATAAGTGGATTAAAAAAAAAATTAAACAAGAAGTAAACCATATAAGATTAAATGAAATAACATACAATATAATAAAACCAAGTAGATCGTTGAATAAAAAAATATATATATATATTAAAATATAAAGTTTTGTTGTAGACCAGTGGTTCTTAATTGGTGTTTCGCGGAACACTGATGCTCTGTGAACTTGGCTAAAGTGTGTCCGCCAAAATTTCAAAATTGGCGAAAAAAAATTATAAAATTATTGTTAAATAAAATTACTGGGATAATTTAATTTTCAGTTTCATCGTTTTCTATAATCGTACTTATTACAACACAATGAATTATATTAGTACTTTTGGATAAAACCGTAAATTATTGTTAAATAACATACAAAAATTTTACCGTCACGTGTTCGTGTAATGTTGCATCCATACGACAATAACAGAAATAGATTATAAATAGACTGATCGATTGCAGATAGTAGAAATGTAAAAGAAATACTTAGTATACAANAATAGATTATAAATAGACTGATCGATTGCAGATAGTAGAAATGTAAAAGAAATACTTAGTATGATTCCGATCGTATGCGATACAATATGTTTGTACCGCGATTAGAATTTTATTACAATTTTCAACATCATACTTATGCGAGCATGGATATCTGACCGAACAAGCCGTAGCATGGGGCTAACGCAAACTCGGTATGGGATTAAAAATAAAAATAAAAAAGTGACGACGTCTCCGAAATCGTTGAAAAATGCTGCATGAAAAGCTTTGCTCGCTGCTAGACGTGCGATCAAGAAGAGTCCGATGAGTGTACCTCGCATACTAAATATCCCGAAAAGCGGAAGAGTGTTGCCGTTAATTCCAATTTTTGCCGGTTTGTCAGCACTAGGAGCACTAGCAAGCGGAGCTGCAAACGTTGTAAAGGTTACAAGTGAATTGAATCGCAATGGACGGACTGGTGATAACGTGGGTAAAGGACTGTACATTCTTCCTTACGGATCCTGTTACCGGATCGATAAGAAGAAACCACAAAAAAGTCGTTCAAAACTGAGAGTGAAAAAAAACTAATTCCGCTGCTACCCAATCGTGCATTATACGATAATGAATTAGATCATTTCGCTCGACGTGTGCTCGAACCACATGTATTTCGTCGCGACACATTACCACGTACACAACCACATACAAATGAAATGGCTGTGATTAATCTGGACGTATCGAGCAATAGCGGAACACATTGGGTAGCATACAATAAAAGTGGTGACCACGTTACGTACTTTGATAGGTTTGGTAATTTACCGCCGCTATTGGAAGTGCTACAGTATTTTAACGGCTGTAAAATCACATACAACTACTGAAAGAGGATTTCATATTGAATTTTTTTGTGGGGATGGGATGGGGGAAAATTTAAGGTAAAATAATGTTAACTTACAAATTTATATACAATCAGAAACTATTTACAAAAAAAATCGTACTAAAAAAATTTACTACATATTTTAAATAATTTATTTTTTTTTTAAATTCTTGGCATAATGTGCTTTTATTGCAATTAGGAAAACAACGCCGGTATTATTTTTGTGCTTCTTCTTTTGTTAAAATATTATTATACACTTCTATGAGTTTCACGCCCCTCTCTGCCAAATCATTTATAACTTTTAAATTATTTACTATTAGTTTTCCTTTTTTTTGATTTGGATACTAAGTACCATAAGTGACCGGAAATTTTTTTAAAACTATTTTGAAATATCTTTATCTATTAGTTCATAATCAATTATATTTTTAATAAATTGTAAATATAAATTCAATGTCGAATTAGATTTGGTATGATAAAAGTATTCAACTACAAAGTAAATAATTTTACTTTGTAATTTATTAATTTTTTAACTCTATTTGTGTGTGCTACTATCAGTCTATAATATTCCAAATTTTTTTGTAACATGTTGCTATATAAATTATAAATTTAAAAAAAAAATGATTTTTAGTTTCACCTGAATTTAACGATGGATTTTTACAATTATAATCAAATTTTATGTATTATAAAATTTGATTATAATTGTATTGCTCAATTGAGTAAATCTTTTTAACAACTTTTTTTATTGGTTTTTTTAGATATATAATCATTAAAATTAATTAAATTCTGAATATTTCCATTGTAGAATCTTTTTAAACGCCAAAATTTAATTAGAAATGATTACTATGATTTTTATTTAAGTGATCTATTACGATAAAAATGTAAAAAATCTAACTTTTCTGATAAATGTACTGTAAATAGTAATTATAAAATTTCCTGATTGCATATTAATCTTAACAATTTTATTTTTTTCTTTTTAATAATGTCAATTTCAAATTTGCAAGTTGTGCTAAATGTTCATGAAATAAATTCATTTTTTTTTTTTATTAAAACTTTCACTTTAAAGGACAATAAAAAGTAGGTTCAAAATGATTACTTTTAACATATTAAAAATCAAAATCAATAATAATTTGAAAACAATTCATTTTAAATATTATATAATATATAATTAAAAGAATTACTAATCTGGGTATAATTAAGGAAGTAGAAGTTGATGTTGCTTTTGTAATTATCCATCAATTTTTTAAAATTATACACTATCTACAGATTTGCGTCGAAGCGTTTCTTATGATGGTGATTTCAATCACCGTCAGATTAAATCTATACTGGACCCAACTATGCAACGTCTCCACTATGCCGCGACCCCACTGTGCTAGGTTTTTTTTACTTATTTTATATGATTGGCAACGCCACTTACACTATCACCGCCGGTTTTGCGACAGACGGCATCGCTGTAACCCCGTCCAATTTCCTTGTCGCGTTACGTTTGAGAATCGATTGCGCTGCACACTGGAAACGAAAAAGTCTTGCGTTTTTCTGCGTATTATTGTGTTATATTCTTGGTACCATTGCTAACTCTTGCTACGTGGTTCTATGGTTCTATGGTCCCAGTTCACAACCGTCGTATTCATTAATCGCCATTGGGATTTTATGTGGTTTGTTGAATTGCCATAATAGTTCTATACCCTTATGCACATCGAGTACAACTGCCTGTACACTACATTGGTTGATTCGGTGCCATACAAGGTCAATATCAACAATACATTTCATTTCATTTTGAACTACTAGTCATCAAGTCGATAGGTAAATACATATATTATTTGTTGATTGTGTTTGTTTAGCTATTTTGTTTTTCAATATATTGCGCCTTGTGGCATGTAGTTATTTAGTGACCCCACCATCTCCAATTAAACGATATTTTGTATTTATATATAACCCTTGTTCCGCAATCTTTTTAATTTTCTGCTAATGTAAGTATCATCCTCAATCTCATATACAGTTCACTCCCCTACTTATTTCTCCTGCACAATTAAAAACAAAAGAATGAATATTAACTAACCCGCACTTTTATTATGATAACAATTATCATTATTATAATTATTGTTATAGATAGCTGCGGGTTCGAGACTTTTTCATTTTAAAAAGGTTATAAATAAGAACCATTATTACCACCCACTACTGTCAAAAAAAAAATGTGTCTATAAAAAGTAAATTTCAAGTTTTTGGAAGGGGCTAACCTTTTCTCAATATCAACACTCAATGATTAAGATACTTACATAACGCATATAAATTTCTGCATACATTTCTTTCTCATTTATAAATTTCTGAAATTAAAGACAATTATTCAGTTTGATTATTATCAGACATTTCATTTTGAGAAGGTAAAAGCGTAAACTTAAAGTATCTATAGTATCTATATATATAGTGCTATATGCATGAGACAATCAGTTTATATCTGATTGATAATGATAATGGTTTATCAGGAAAATTTCATTTTTTTTTTTAGTCATCGTTTCATAGTTTGAAGTTTGAACAGATTTCAGATTTCAGATTTAAGGGATGTGTCATATCTCCCTGACACTCCCCCTGCGTACGCCATTGATATAATTTATTGTCAAAATTATTAATAAACGGCAACATTAATAATTAAAACTTTGTGTCGCCTACATTATTTTTTTGTGTGTGATTCACCCCACTCATCACGTACATATTATTAGTGACTATTTACTGTTGTTATGCTCGACACGTTAGTGAATCTTAAATTGAAAACTATATATATTATTTTAACGTTTCAATTAAATAAGTGGGTCGTGATAAAAAAATCACTTTTATCTGTTTATTTAATCGAGAAAAATAAAATATCGCTATTATTTAATAATAAGTAGTTTTTTATAAAATTTTTTAAAAGATCTATTTAGAAATTTTCTTTCCGGGGTGATTATGTTTTCAACATTTATAATTTAGAAATAAAGTTTTTCCTATAAATCCTGCAAATTATTATTATTTTTTATTAAAACGAGTAAGTGTTTTTATTTTAACATAATAAATTACACAATCTTTGGTAAAAATTAATTATATTTTTATAAAAATTAAATTAAAAAATAAAACTATTTTTATTAGTTGGCTATTTTGAAAATATATTTGTATTCTGTCTTAATTAAGGTATTAATTTTATGCAATTTTTCCATTACATCACGTAAATTTACTGGTATGTTTTGAAATTCGTTTTCATCGTGAGGTTTGGGAAATCCATTTAATACTTTATCTAAAAGATATTGTGGTAATATAGGTTTTTCATCATCATTATGCTGTTTACAATTATTTTCATTTAAATCATTTGAGTAGCCTTCCATTTCTTCTGGCGTTAGGAAAGATTTTACGATTTTATATACCATGGCTCTTAAAATACACATTGCATTTTGTTTATACTGTACATAAACAAAATCAAGATATCCTTTACTCAATATATCGTTGCCTGTCAATTGTATCAGCGCGTCATCTAATCTTTCTAAATTTTCTATACTTTGGTACCGGTATGGTTCTAAAGACAGGCTAATTCTTATTGCCTCAAAGGCATAAGAAATTAACAAAATCGCATACTTCATAGTACGATTTTTCATAATTTTTATTGCTCTCGTAATAGCGAATTCAATACTACTCTTGTACATTGTTGAATTATTAATGAAATCTTTAAGTGTTGTACGGGGTAGTGTAGGAAAATACGATGGAACAAGTTCCTCTTCGACATGGTTCCATAAAGACAAATAGTGAAGTTTTCTTAATTGATCTTTGGTTCCTTCATCATAAACTGTATCATTTATTATGGATATGTCATTATCAAGCTTACTGTTCTGTAAAAAAATAATTTAAATCTTCTATAAAATTGTAAATTAATTGTATTACATTGTAATATCTATGAATTATTACTTAAATTACAATCGTATATTAAATAATAAAACCCAGTACCCCAAATAGTGAACTTTAATATAGACTAAAATCTTTTAGTAAAATATACCATTATCATATTATGCTCAGATAAAAGTGTACTTTAAGAAAAGTTTTTAATTAAAAATTAAAAATTTAACGAAAAAATTTCGAATATTGATTGTGGCCTCCAATTGCATAAAAGAGAAAAGTAGTAGGGATATCTTTCTTTTGATTTTAAAGTACATTTTAATGTATCAAAATTAAAAATACAAATAAACGATAAATTATTATAATTTATTTTTAACAAAAATTAGTATATGCTTATAACAGAAATAATATATCAAACCGAATACACAAACAATTTCACTAATTGTATGATAAAAGTTTTTGTGTATATGTATAAATATGTTCTATTTCATTGCACATTAAAGCTTAAATATAAATTAACAATCAAAACTGTTATTAAAATATAATGTATTTATATACTTTTAACTATATATTTAATAGTGTTAAAAGAATAAATATTTGAAAGATGATAACATAACGTTCCAGTAAATTTTCTTTTAGTGTTACACGTCCAATTTATGTTCAATTTTTTATTAGATAAGCTACATAGAATAACCAATTTTTCTTCTCTCTCTACACTGTATTTTAACTAATTCTATTACTCTTAAATCATGACGGAGAGCAGGATTCTAATTCCTACACATACATATTTAACTAGGTCATAAAATAAAATATAATTTAATTAAGAAAATGACTGGTCAATAACAACTTTTGGACCAGTACTTCCGAAGTTATTCTTATTTTTATACCTAGGCAGGGCGATAATTACGTCCAGGATATGACTAGTGATAAAAATAGCAACTTCCTCACCTCACCACCAGTCAATAATTAAAATTGTTAATAACTTCTAAAATACTAGACCAAAAGTAGTTATCAAACAGGCATATTCTTAATTAGACTATGATGAATTTTATAAGATTATTAAACATGTATGTTACAATTTAATTAAATATAATTATCACCCTTTCAAGTTATAAGAGATAAACCTAAAAAGTAATTGAAACATATAAAATTTATATCTGATTATTTAAAAAATATATCTAACTAAATTAACCAAACATTTTTTTTTCAATATAACATTTATTGTTAGCATTTATTTTGCATTTAATTGAAAATCGGTTTAAGATAAACCGGTTATCTATTTATGAATTTTAAAAAAGTTTAGAAAGTTATATTTTTTTAAATATAAACATTATCAATTAAATAACTATTGAATCATAAATTTACGAACTAAAAAAAAATGTCTTTCATTCACGAAGAACTCTTCGCAAATTACCTATCATTTTTGATATTTTCTTAATATAAATATTGAATATTTTAATAAATTAACACTATATATATATATATATATAGTGTTAATTTTTATAATTAATTTATTTAAAAAAATATAATTGTATTATATCATATTTAAAGTCGTATGCATTCCGTAATGAGTCCTATATCTACTTTAAATTACATTTTAACTGCGAAAAATTGTAATTGTAATTTATATACATGCATAGACATTTCCATGAACTTACTTGGATTTTAATTATTTTGAAATTAATTCGGTAGTCTATATTATTTAAAAAAGACTTTAATTCTTCATTCATTTTATGTGCTGTAAATGAAATGATTTCATAATTTGACAATTTTTTATATAAATTACATTGATTTTCTGTTTCGTCATGATGAGATATTAATATATATCAACAGATAACATAAACTTGTCATATACTTACCGTTGTATTTGAAAATGTTATTTCTTTCATTGTAATTTAAAATAATGTATGTTTCTTCGAACGTCTTAAAAATTTAAATAAAAGTAATTATAATAAATAAAAAGAATTTATACGTTTTGGAAAATTAAAGAGCAAAATTGAATCTTTTTTCATAATTATAAACTCATTCGTTTGAATGAAATGTTTAGAAAACAAAATAAACGATTCTAAAATTCAAATATTTGTCCCATGTAGGTATCCTGTAAGTTTTAATGAACCAATTAAAGTAATTTTAATATGATAAAATGTTCTTAATTATGTTATTAAAAAACTGATGTCATTTCGTTTCATTGAAATATTTACATGTTTCCTTTAAATGTACTCCAAATAGTTATCAGATTACCAAATCCATCCAATTACTTATTCTTAAACCCTTTTCTTCAAGAGCTGATCTCCACACCCCTAGCCTTTGATTAATTTTTTACCTATTTTCTCCTATTAAAGCTATATTGTCAGCAAACCACATGCACCACGGCATCTCTCCTTGTACTTCTCTAGTAATTTCATCGGTCACTATAGAAAATAAGCAAGAGTTTAAAGCAGAATCTTGGTGCACTTCTACTCTTACCCGAAAACCTTCTGTTAAGCCTCCCACGCTATTTACACTGATACAATCATCATCTGGTACCATCATGCATATCCTCTATTATATTCATGTACCTTTTTAGGACTCCTTTTATCATTAATGCCTACTTTAAAACCTCTTTTGGTACTCAAACTTTTTCTTCTTAGTTTTTTTATTAGTTGCCTCACTCCAAATAATGGCTCCGATGTTAACTTATCAGTTATAAATCCAAATTGGTTTTTAGATACTGATGTCTCATTTTTTATTCTCTTAACTATTTCCTTTTTCCAAATTCTCTACTATGATTCATAAGTTTTATGTCTCTGTAATTTCCACACACCTGTATGTCACCTTTACCTTTAAATATCGGCACCATAATACCATTCTTCTATTCATTTGGAATATTCTCTTCTAATAGAATTTTATTTAAAAGTACCTTTAAACACCTTATACCAACACCGCTTAATATTTTCTATACTTCTACTGGTACTTCATCTGGTCGTATTGTTTTATTATTTTTCATTGACGCCACAGTTTTCCATACTTTTTTCTCACTAATTAAATCTAACAGATTCTCATTCCACGAGATATTCTCTAATGTCTCTTTTGTATACTCCTTATACAGTAATTTTCAAAATACTCTTTCCACCTTTTTTTTCACATTATAATCACTCGAATGCACCATATTATCAACACTTTTCACGAACCTTATTAAGCGATCATTTTTAGACCGTTTTTTAAAACTTACTTTTGCAAAGTCTATAAACTTCTTTTTTACCTTTCTTTTATTTCTAACCTATCATACAACTCATCATACCTCTTAAGTTTTGCTTTAGTTAGTATTCTGATCTTCTGTCATACATTGAACTGCTTTTACTTACTCTTTACTTTTTTGAACGTCTTCATCTCAACACCAGGTTTTTTTATTTACAAAATATTTAAAAATGTATTCTTTACACAACTAACAAATCTATACTATACATCATTTATGTCTCCCTCGATATTCCACACCGTCATCTCTTTACCGTTTTTACAAACTCTTTTTCATTTTCCCCTTTCAATTTCCACCACCTGAACTCCGATTTTTCTCCCGTGTTCCTTCTGTTTTTATATATTATTTTCCCTATACATCACAACTCTATTACCATCAGTCTATATTGTGTAGTTACACTCTCGCCTGGTATAACTTTACAATCGTTTACTCGCTTTACGCTCTCTCTCTTTCATATAAAAAAATCAATCTGTGATCTAATATTCCCACTCTAATAAGTTATATAATGTTCTCCCCTCTTTTAAAATAAGTATTAATCACAATAAGTTCATATGATACTGCAAAATCCAGGATTCTTTCTCCAGTCTTATTCTTCCCACTAAAACCATACCCTACATGTACTATTTTATATGCGTTCTTCACATTACCTACATGTTCATTCATATCTCCACCTATCACCGCATCCTCATTGCCAAGTACCTCTTGCATCACCTCATCCATTTCTCTCCAAAACACTTCCTAGCTATTTCATCACATCCTTGACACGGAATTGTTAAAAGTGTCAATAAACTTTTTCCTTTTAAGGAAACAAAAAAAAAATACGTTTAAACAAATGATGTAGTGGCACTAGCCGAGAGAGAGAAAAAAACAAGAAAATGTTAATAAGAAATATATACATATGAATATTCATTAATGAATGAATACACTAGTGCAATATATATATATATATATATATAAAGTAACTTACAAGTACGTCGTGAGAAATAGGCGGGTGGCATTAGTTCACGTAGGACGTCAAAGGCAAGATAGAGAGTTCACCACCAGCGCTCAATGGTCGATCGCGCTCCAGTAAATAGAATTTAAAATACACTAGCTAGATAGCGGGGGTACTAATCAGGCTGGGCTCGCGATGTAATAAGGCGGCTGATGGAAGAGATGAGATGGCCGTGTATTAAACGTATCGCAAAATATACGGTACCGTGTCATCCTACTTATAGTACATAGGCACTTATTACATTCAGCACTCTTTCCTCAACTATCAATTTTACGACTATAATTCTGTCACTTTTCTTGGCTACTTCTACTACTTTACTTTTCATCTCTTCATCCATTATTATCCCTATACCATATAGGCCTTTCCTATATTTAACTACTTTATTTCCTCTCACCTGTTGTCTTCGCGTACATCCGAGATGGGACAACTCGCCTAAGTTTTAATCAGGACTCCTCATGCTTTTTGAAAAAAAGTTAACGCCGGCTGTCGACATGACGCAACCTCATTAGTCATCTCTTACGACTGGCAGAAGGGCAGTGGAAATATTCTTATCCCCAATTCACAGAGAACAAAATTTGTTATCAGCCATTCATATTCTTAATTAGATCATTTACTAAATTATAAGCTAGATAAAAATGTTACCATTTAAAAAATAAAGTTAATAATTTTATAAGGGATAAACTAAAAAAAGTAATTGGTGACTAATTAGTCCAATATTTGACAATAAAAAATATTAAAAATATTTTCTTAACCTATTTATTATTTTAAAATCAATCAAGTGGCATGCTTTAAAAGTATTACCACGTTGTAAATAAGGACACTAATTATGTTTATCATTTGAAAAAATTAATTTTACACCTTAATAATGTATCAGTGATGAAATTGAAAAATATTAAATGTTTGGTAAATTGAGAAAAACATAGAGCTAAAAGTAATCAATGGTATAACTTTCAATATTATATTTATTTTCCGATTAATGAAATTATTAATGATTAAAGAATCAACTTGTAAATATGTTTTAGTGATGTTTTATAGATTCAATATAATTATGTGTTTAAGCATTTAAAATTTATTATATAAGTAACTTACGATTTTAAGTTTTATCATTTTTCGTGGTTTTCTGCTAATATAAATCAGGGTCTCATGCTAAAAATTTAGTATAAAATTTTAATACAATTAATAAATAATACATATATTTAAAATATATCAGTAAATCAGTGTTTTACAACAGATAAGATGAATAAAAAAATAATACCCTTACACAAATTCAACTACGCATTCCATAAAACGCCCTTTGTAAAAGATTCTATCACATCAAATACAACAAAAAATATTTCAAGAATCTCACCAAAGATCGCTAAACCTGTTTTGCGAGCTATATAATGGCCATTTTTCCACAAAAAACTCTCTGCTAGGACTGCGACTATGACTACACTTTCCTCTGGAGTTCTTAATCAATACACACAAATGGAATCTGCTTATATGTTTAGTCTGCTCTTGGATACAACTCCATATCAAATCTACACCACCAACCACCACACTCTCCCATCAAAATAAAAATATAAGATTAAATTTTTAACTTTCTTTTAGAGTGCTGATTTCTACTTTACTGAGCCAATATGTTATTAAGATACTTACAAAATTCAAAAAAATTTCTGCACTCATTTTTTTTTTAATTACAAAATTCTGAAAAAAATTCAAAAATTTATTTATTTAGTATGATAATAACCAAAAATTTCATCTAGAATGATTAAATCGGCGAATTTAAATAAACAGCACTATGTATAACTATGGCTTTCAAATAAAGTTCTTAATAATAAGTAAAAAAAAATGATTTTTAAGACTTTTATAATTTGTATAGAAAAAGATGAAAGTTACATGCCAATTTTTTATCTTTTGTACTACAAATATTAATAGTTACAAGTCTATTTACTGTAAGCGACATACAGAGTACCTTTTATATGTTTCTATGTGTTGGTACTTGTCTTGAATATTATGTAATCGTCCCTAAGTATCTACTTTTTTAAATGTCTAAAAATTTGTATTGTGTCCACTCGTTAATCAAGAAGTCAGGATTTTTTGTTGATATTTGATGTAATTTTTTTTTTTTATCTAACAGTGTTCCGCGTGACAAAGTACCTCAATTTTTTTAAGTTATAATAAATAGAAATAAAAATAACTGAAATGCTTTTGATATGGGTATTGTTACTGAAATTTTACTTAATAATTCTTAAAAGTTGTATTTAATAATTAGAGTTGGACCTTCTAACCTACAAACATTGATAAATTATCAACAAATCATGGATTATAATAAAATGTTATATCACTATCAATTCAATATAATTTACAATAACATGTATTTTTTATCGTTTACTTCATATAAATAATGATATATTTATTATAACTCTCTCAATATAAAAACCCAACACAGTGGGGACTTTTTCAAAAATGACCAAATCAATAAAAAATTTTTTTATAGATGCACGATGTTTTTAGCTTAAGTATTTTAGTGTTGAATAATTGAACACACAATTTTGCTGGTTTGCAATATACAATGTCAACACCAGTAGGACTATTATGCTTATTTCTTATTAACTGTTGTACCTTTATTAAAAATTGATTAACCGAAGATCGCACATGTACAGAATGTAGATAATTTTGTCATATTTAATTTAATGTACTGATTATGTCTCTACGTCACTGTGATTACCTGAGATATGTTTTCTTATATTTTTCAATAATTTACGCTTAATAATATCAAACATTTTTATTTCGTTCATTACAATTTACCCTTAAATAATCCAAATATAGTGAAGAGACATAATGTTCTTTACTCAAGTATAATAGCTTTATTTTTAGCTTCGATACAAAGTTGACAAGTTATTAATTTTACTATAAAAATATGACATAAAATCACAAATCGTATATAATCGAATACATTACACTCAAAAATTGAAAAAATTATTCTTGTTCTCCGTAAAAGAGGCACTAGGGTAGTCCTTATTTTTCGAAATTTCTTTCGGGACACCCTACCATTTTATCTTTAGTATAAAAAAAAATATTTTGAAAATTTAAGATCATTTGGAAAAATTTAAATCGAGGCTCACAGCATTTTGAGGTTTTGACCTCAAATTTTCGAAAATAATTCTTAAAATGATAAAAAAAAACCTATATTAGTGGTTTTCAAGTGATTTTTTTAATAAAAGTCAAAATACAAAAAAAAAAAAAATCTTATCTAAAGCCAAATATTTTTATTTATTATTTTTAAAAATGTATTGAATTTTACTATTATACATATATTATTATATATAGATTAGTACTATTTATATTCTTCTTTTATGCGACATACTTTTTTTTAACACGCTTATATTAGTTTCACATGTGTGTTTTTTGTAACTCTCCACGCGCCACTCGTTATTATTCTCGCGTATCCCGTCGTCTACGGCCTTGAGACTAGACTCTGTCGTAACGCATTCACCCCACCCCGATCACCGCTCGCTCACGAACAATATTTTCCTGTATAATTTTATTTTTGGTTTTCGTACCCGTACACGTATATGTATAACCAAATTTTTATTTTGACTGACCAATACCACCCGCGTGCAATACGCCTTACGTATATATATATTCTCATAAATTCCTACCGCCGCTGCCGCCGTTTATACCTCAGGTATAACGTTCCCCCCGTCCACAAAACACGGCTATACTTGTTGCATGATACGTTTACGTACTTAGATCGCATTACATGTATATTAACTCGCTTTATTCTCATTATGGGATATAGAAAGTATTCATTCCGATTACAAAGGATAATTCCCGTATCGTCATTTTTAACACGCTTCTATTAGTTTCACGTGTATGTTGTTTGTTGTTTGTTGTTTGTTTGTTGTTTGTTTGTCGTTTGTAAGTTTGTAACTCCACGCGGCACGTGTTATTATGTCGCGTATCCCGTCGTGTATGTCCTTGAGACTATACTGTTGTAATGCATTCGCCCCACCCCGCTCACCTCTCGTAGACAACAATATTTTCTAACCCGTAGACGCGCGCGTGTCATCAATTATGTATATATATATATATAACAAATTTTTATTGTAATTGACACAGCCCCGCGTCGTTTCGTTATACACAATGCCCCACCACTCGTGCCACCTTTATCAGCCGTCGCCCTATTATGAGTATTTGACTGACCAACACCTCGTGTTATACGCCGCGGTGCAAAGTCTAGCAAGCGCCGCACGGCCGACGACGTCCCGCCGTTAATGATACCGTAGTCTTCTTCTCGTTGTCAAAGTGACAATGTCTACGATTCGATCCGCACTCGCGCGCCGTCGCTATCAACGCTGCTAACCTGTTGACGTCCGAAGATCACGCCGGACATCGCGTCGTCGACGCCAGCAAAAGTGCGGCGATATTATTTATTGCTAAACTCAACGGACGTAAAGCCCTTTACAAAATATATAATATGGTGCTTCGTGCCATATTTTTCGTATATTGAGCGCCCGACGCTTTTATCACAATAATTCTAGTCTTTTCGTTCAATATTGTTTTAAGCTTATTTTAAAAATTATTTTGAACTTTTTAGTTCAATGTGCTTTAAAAGCGTGTTTTTTAGTTTTTTTAAACTATATTTATTCATCACTACCTTCACGTTCCGGGAGTGGGTAATTTACGCGACTGCTACTTTCCTTGGATGTGGTAGCCGTTTCTCAGACTCCCTTTCCGAAATCGAATCCTGATTTCCCGTTACTCGTTACAATCATAATATTGATAGTAACTACTATCAAAACATGAAACTAAAAAATGAAAAATAAATATAGTTAAAAAACACGCTTTGAAAGCACATCGAACTAAAAAGTTAAAAATAATTTTTAGTTCAATGTGCTTAAAATCATGTTTTTTTAGTTTTTTTTAACTATATTTATTTAAATCAGACCATTACCCTTTATTGTACGGGCGGATTCAAAACTTAAAAATGCATATAGAAAGTAGAACTTTTTCAAATTAATTTTTGAGTGTTCCGGAAATACTGACACTTTTATATCTATATTAAATTAAATATGTATTATACTTTAATATGAAAACGAAAATTTTCAAACTTTAGTTTGTTTTCATGGTGAAAACTAACTTCAAAGTTAATAAAAAAAATAAGATTTTTATGAAAATATTCTTTTTTATATTTATAATTTTATAATGCTATTACTTTTATAAAAATATATGGTTAAATACAATTTTTTTATGACAAATACCATATATATACCTCTTTTATTCGACACACTTTTTTTTTATATATCATTTGCCTTTATATATATATACATATTGATTTATTCAGATATTACAATTATAACTCATACAACTTGTAATCAGGATATAAATAAAGAAATAGGATATCATATAGCTTTTGGAATAAAACACCAATTTTTTTAAAATTAAACACTATCTAAAGATTTGCATCGAAGCGTATTTTATGATAGTGATTTTAATCACTGTCAGATATCATTATACTTGTCACATTTTTGCCATGTCTCCACTGTGCCGTGACCCCACTGTTCTGAGTTTTTTTTTTTAATGACACTAATCAGAATTAAGTGCAATAATGAAAGTGTGAGCTTTAAAAACGCTGTAAGAGTCATAGAATAAATAATAATAATATAAAAGTGTCCCCACTGTCGTCTAATATCATTATTTTGTTTCTTTAACATATTTATGAATCAGAAATGACCAATAAGTAACTGTTGCGCACTGAAAGTTATAAATAATTGTAGTTTTCTTTTTTA